GGGGGGGGGGGATTGCTAGATTTTGTTAAGTTTGACTGTTCCTTGAACAATTTAAGCATGAGAATATCTAATGCCGGAATTGTCACTTATAGTTTTTTGATTGCACACTTATAATTTCCTGGGTTCTAGCAAATATAACCGATAAATACACCCGCTCTTCTAATTAGTATGGAGTTTTGAATACAATTCAAATCACTGGTATATAATATAGCTCATCATAGTGTCTTTGCAGAGCTCTTAATATCGTTGAATATATTCATACACAATGGGGAATCAAGAGTCTGCCTTAAATGACGCTCACAGTGATTATTATCACCACAGCCCAGAACATGTAAGAAATCAAATTGGCTCCAATCCTCAACATCAACCTACGACTTATGCAGAAAGCTCCACGGATTCTAATTATCGAGCTCAAGTTACATCACATGACGGAGGATCAGATAGAGCGAACTATCAAAGGAACCAGCAAGCCTCTTACATAGCTGATAACTATAACTCTTTGGATGAGGTTGATTTCTTAATTACTTGTTCATTCTTTGCAGATTTTTATAGAGTTTCACAGAACACCTCATGGTGGACAACATGGTGCGATCAGATGGCAATGAACAAAAAATCGCTAGTTTGCGTTTTTTCCCCTTAACTTAGAATTGACAGATCAACTAGTATTCTGAAAGCATTGGTTTCATTGTTTGAGCATTTTCTCCTGTTAGGAACTTAGAATTGACAGATCAACTTATATTAGGCAAAAAGTCAACAATGGATCAGTTCACGTGGAGTTTCTATTTTTACTGCTTACTTTGCTAATGAACTGCAGTAGCTGATCTTTTGAGCAATATAATATATAAATAACAGAAATAGTGATACACTTATGCCTAGGTTATTACCGCATTGCGAGAAGCAGGCCTTGAATCGTCAAACTTGATTCTTGGCATTGATTTCACCAAAAGCAATGAGTGGGCAGGTGAACTACTACATTCCACTATACTATTAGTCTTAGTGTTTGTCTCAAGTTGTGGAGGCAATGGTTGACAATTTAAGGTTGTAGGAAAACATTCATTCAACAGAAGAAGCCTCCACTCAGTTGGTCACACAGCTAACCCATACGAGCAAGCCATCTCTATAATTGGGCGAACTTTGTCTCCTTTTGATGAGGACAACTTGATACCTTGTTTTGGATTTGGTGATGGTTAGTTTTTGTTTCTGATCCTTATTTTGTTCGCAGACAATCAAGATGGTTTCGAATAGTGTTGACCATGGGTTGTTGTCTCTGTAAATTTCAGCAACCACACACGATCAGCATGTGTTTAGCTTTTACCCTGATCATCGCCCTTGCCATGGATTTGAGGAAGCTCTTGCAAGATATAAGGAAATTCTTCCTTATCTGATATTATCAGGTTTGAGCTGAATACTGCTTTCAGAATTTCCTTTATTCAGTGGTCGGATAGCGGTAATCTATGTGGTATACAGTATTTGATATGCTTGGCTGCATTTCTGTATCTTAAACTATTAGGGGGGNTAATCTTATTATAAGGACATCTCATCCATCTTATGCGTGTCTTCATTGACAAAGTTTAAACTGTGTTATGATAGTTTTAGTGAACTCCTGATTAATAGTTAGTGTATCTCTTACATTGTTGAAATACTGTTGAAAATCTGATTGGAGAAAATGGAGGAACTAAATTTTTTTTATTTTAATTTGCTTAGTGTTTTTGGCACTCGGCTATACAGTAACCAAATCTTATATGTACACGAGCAACAACTGATGATTATGATCTTATCTTTTCCAATGCTACATAAATTCTCAATACTATATTAACTCTTTTTTTCTCAAATGTTACATTAGCTCTTATTTCCTACACTTATTATCTTCAAATATGAGGTGGTGAATTTCGAGTTTGCAAAATAGGGTCGAGTACGCCAGGGAAGTTACTGTTAAAGGAGTAATAACTAGAAAATGAACAGTCAGAGATGAGATGCTCCTGTTTGAAAGCTAAATGTGGATTTGTGATTATCCTAACTCATCTGGGAAACATGTAGGTCCAACTTCATTTGCCCCAATAGTCAACACTGCAATAGATATAGTGGAAGCAAATAATGGGCAGTACCATGTCCTTGTCATTGTTGCAGATGGACAGGTTCATATCTCCTTGGAAATAATTTGATTCCTTTGACTTCTTCCTTGCTTCACCACTAGTTATTCCAAATTAAAAATAAAAAAAAACAGGTAACAAGGAGCACTGACACTCCATCTGGAAGCCTTAGCCCTCAAGAACAGGCTACTGTAAATTCTATTGTTGCTGCTAGGTAAACGGGTGACCTTTTCTGGGAAGTTGATTTATAGTGCCATTCTCCTGCCTGACTTGAGATGCTTACATGCAGTGAATATCCTCTTTCAATTATTCTGGTCGGTGTTGGAGATGGCCCGTGGGATGAAATGCAACGGTTTGATGATAACATTCCCCAACGGGCATTTGATAACTTCCAGGCATGACTGAAAGACATTCTTTTGCTTTGCCTTCAATCTCTTTCGCATGTCTTCATCTTTTCTGGATATTTTTGTTATTTCGTTCTGGATTAAACAGCTATGGTTTTTTGGTTATGAGGTTTACCTTTGGTCCTTTTTTTCCTTTTGGCACTTACAGATCTAAGATAAGTCATTGTCTTACCATGTTAGAATACCTCTCCTTTTCTTTTTGACAAGCTTGGTTGCTGGTTATCCTTTTGGTTGATATCGACTAAGAAATAATTGCCATTGAATATTGATCCCTTATCGCTCCGTGGGGGTCTACATTCACTCTTCTCTTACTTTCCCTACTTCTAGCAAAAAAATTGAATTAACCTGATCCCAGTCTATCTAGCATATCTGGGGAAAAATTTCTATACAAGGACTGTACCTTTTCCAGTTGGAGGTTATCAGTCTGTAATTGCTAGCTGGTTCACGTATTCTAAACAGATACCACAAAAGGGATTTATTGTCGAATCTGAGGGATGAATTGGAACTGATTTCGAGTAAGGGGATTTGCAGGAACCTTCTCTAAACAGCTTGTGACATCTGTGCCCAATAAAAGCTACTGCTAATTTTAGGGATCTTTTGCTCTGTTTCTTCAAATGCTGCTGGTTCCCATGCTTTTGTGAATGATTTTGCTTACACCTTCTAGGCGTGCTCATACTCTCTCCACTCCCCACCCTCACTCCCCCAACTGCTCTTAGTTGTAAACCAATTTTCTGTCTGGAATTATAATCTGTTAGAAAAGATAGAACATAGTAACAAGCTTCTTTTCCATAAGGGTGAGAATGTGAAAATGCTAGAAAGGGAAAGCCTTCGCAAAAGACAATAAGTTGGTAACACGGAGGAGCTGTGCGATAGGCGAGATATATGGTATAGAAAAAGGGGATAGTGAACAAGTGTCATGGCCTAATGGAAGGATATCATGAAGCTACTAAATGATTTAGAAAAGGAGATGATTTGAGTGGTTGGTGATAGCAGAAGATTTTCTCTCTGTGATAAACATTGGGGTGGAGTGGATGTTTTGAAGCAGATTTCAGTAGATATATGTTACTTTTCTTTTGAATAAAAATTTAATGGTAGCTGACTTTACTAACAGAGAGAGGAACCATAGTTTTGGGTTGCAAAGTTATGAGAAACTTGCATGACTATCAGGAGATAGGGGAAGTTGTCTATAAATTTGCTTCATTCCTTCAATTTTCAAGAGAAAGACAAGGATTTGTGAAGAAATTTCAATTGAAAACAACAAGGATTTGTGTTGGATTGGGGCTGGCAGGGTAATGCTGTGTCCATTTTCTCTTTTAAATCCTTTTGTACGTCATTTTTAATATGTAAGCGATCTTCAAATTGTGAACTCAATAGTTCCTACTTCCTAGGGAAGTCAGTTTTGTATTTGTCAGGACAATCACGGGCGTCATTCTTGCTACTGAAGACACACATAATATGGTTCTTTACATGTAAGGGACTTCAAAGAAAGCTCATCCTCTGTTTGACACATGTTGGGTCATGCCAAATAGGGTAAAGCAGCTGATGAGCTTTTGGAATATCGGGGGATTCAGGTGGAGCAGATTCAACAGAAGGAAAGCATGAGGCTAATAGCTCATGCTACAAAATGGACTTAAAATTGCTGGTTTTTGTATAATTGCCCCTTGTGTAGATAATTAGGTTAGCTTTCTGGAAGGAAATTTCCTTGCACAGTCCTACCATATGTGGGATTCCTATAGGAGATTATTTCTTCTTCTAGCGATGAAAATTCCGATGCTAATCAACTTCAGTTTTCCTAATTATTTGTGTATCCACTTGCAGTTCGTCAATTTTACAAAAATCATGTCTGAGCGTTCAGCGAAGGAAAAGAAGGAAGCAACCTTTGCTCTTGCCGCACTCATGGAAATTCCAATTCAGTACCGAGCCACTCAAAGGCTTCAATTCAGAGAGTGAGTAGAATCTATTTGTGTATATTCTTCTTGCAAGTAGAAAGCAACTACATGAAGCCTAACCTCTTCAAAATGTGTTCCTTAGAAGCAAAAGAGGCCCTCGTACAAGGCCACTTCCTCCTCCTCGTGAAGTAATTGATCATGACAGTGCAGTCAAATCATTGCCGCATCCGACAAGCTATGAACCTGTTGACTCTGGAGCTGCAGAAAGAGTAAGTGTTTATTGTATAGTTCTTGCTCTTCTTGTAAACTCATTCATCACAACAGTCTATTTCTTTCGATCTGTTCATTTTTCTGAATAATCTTTCCCCTTTTCCTTAAGGATTGTCCCATTTGCTTGACAAACCCAAAGGACATGACTTTTGGATGTGGTCATCTGGTAAGTGATTATAGAAGTGACATTTAGCTACTATCAGTGTTAAATTCAATCCTTAAAATGTGTCCAAGGCATAATATTTTCATGTTTACATGTGGCATTTGACCCTATAGTTTCAGCTTGTAGTCAACTGGAGTATATGATTTGAGAATGTCTAAATGGCCACGTCTTCTAGAATTGCATTAACATTATGTTGCTTAGATCAATCCATTTTCCATAAAGAATGATGACAATAAGGATCTCGTCTTTTAAGGTAAACAAAATGGTGGAAGTTAGTGGTCAAAGATGACATGTTTAGTTTGCAATTTGTTTTGGTTTTCCCCATCCAATCCTTTAAAAGAAATCATTTGAGAGTGTCACTGAATAGTGAGGGTATCATTTTCTGGAATTCCTTACAAACGTTATTCAAAAGGAAAACAAACTTGAATACTGGCATTCTGACATTTTACATAGTGAAATACCATTCACCTACATTTCCGACTTAATTATGCATATCCTGCCAGAATAATAGAAATTAAGATACTTGTATGAAATTAAGCTATCTCTATTTACCATTCACTGCATGACTACGGTTATCCTAATGAACTTATTCACTCCAAAGCATTCTTTAAAGGTTGGACAATAAGCACATCTAACCTATGACTTAGGAGATTTGATGTGTGCCCTATTTGAATGATCATAATGTTTAGCTCTTTCGAGATCACTTGGTAAGGCTACTTCATCATGATCGATGAAAGGGCCATGTTTAGTGCTTTTCAATTGTCCTAGTACTCATGCTGCCACTGATTCTCATGTTCTGGATTCTCCTAGCACGTATCATCTAACTTTTGCTATTAGCATTTGAATTTTAGATTACCTACAGCTCTTACTCATGACGGAGAAATGGCTATCAAAATTCTTGCCTTGCGTTTTTTGAATCAGACATGCAAGGAGTGTGGTGTCACAATAACAACATGTCCTTTATGCCGGGAGCCCATTACAACTCGCATAAGACTGTACGGCTAGATGCACAGAACTATCTCCTGAACTATCTAAACTCCGCAGTTTCTCCACGATGTCAACTAAAGATGATATTCCGGAGGTGTAAACTTTCCTTGTTCCTTGAAGAAGAGCTTCCTCAGTTTGTCGTCATACCACAGCTGATGTGAAATATATCAAAACTATAAATGAGCTGTAACCTATGTATAGCTTATCTAGAATTCTTCAACTGTCCTATTTATTGTTTATGCACATTTTTAGTACCTACTTAGCAAAATGTATATAACTACATGTATGAGAGACTTCTATGTTGAGTCAGTTCACAGCAGTGTAAGTTCATTCCGTAGATTGACCAAAGATCAGTTCTTGTTTTTTTTTTTTTTTTTTTTTTTTTTTTTTTTTTTTTTTTTTTTTTTTTTTTTTTTTTTTTTTTGCTTGTTTCGCACGTGTCTTATTTAACCATCACCAATCACTCTACTACCCATTAAGTTCTGGCTCTCGCTGGCTAAACTTTCGGAAGTTATCTGGCGAATTGCTAAGAAACATAGTCCAGCTACTGAAGTTTACAGCCTCTCCAGTTCTTTCTGTTGCTGTAGGTTCAACTGTTATGTGAGGTCATATGTACTATTAATGATTGGGACAACAGTATATGGATGGCGGTTCAGATTTTTTTTTTTTTTTTTTTTTTTTTTTTTTTTTTGTGAGGAACCAATAGAGGTCTACTGGTGGTGAATGATTTGAGGTTATGGTGTTGCCATGTAATGGATGTGAAGGGCCAAGGCTTTTTGTTGTATACTGGTGGTGGAGCGAGAAAAGAGAGACGGAGGGGTTTGTTGCCTCCTCTTTGCTTGGCTTTGTTTCTAAAAGGGGGCTTCGAAGCATTGATTTTCCGGTGGAGAAGGATTTTTTGCTGAGAAGGTGACTGTGTGAGGTGGCTTTTTGGAAGATGAACGATAGTGAATGGAAGTCAAAAAAAAATGAGTCAAATTTGCTCCTAAACATTGCGAAATGGTGTAGATATCCCTCCATGAATAGTTGGTCACATGGGGGCGTCGTAGCCATGCTAATCAAATCCAACTAATGCTTGTGTTCCACTTTTGTAATAATAAGGACGCATCTGACCTCAACTATTGACGAAATGTATATCTAGACACTTTCGTTTAATTCAAGGATAAATTTGGACATTTTTCTTTTTTAAATAATGTCTATTTGGTATTTATAAAGTTTATATTCATCGATAGAGGTTCACGTATCGTAAGACTAATAATAACAATCAATTGTGGTACCTTCAATTTTTGAATCATACAACAGTTATTTCAGTGCCATTGGACTAGAGCTGGCTTTGGCAAGGGAATGAATTTCGCTAGAGCAGATTTTAGCTGAGTCAGATTATCAACTTCATCTTCAGTGTTATGATTTTAGCATTTATGCATCCAGGCCATCAGTTGCTCTTTCACAGTTCCATCCCCTCCAGTCAAAACTAGTGACTCAATCAGAAATATCCTTGTATACGGTTAAAATCGGGCTTGCCCAATTTTGCTATTTAATCGAGACCAGGGGATCACGTCGAGGGTCAGCCTCGTAATGGATCGGGCTATAGCACGAAGACGAGGTGTCGAGTTCAAGAATCGAAGTGTCTGTCGAGATCGAGGCCAGCATCAATCAAGACTAAGTATGACCGACTTCGAGTGAAGTGCAATAACGGAAAGGCGAGATATCCGTAACCGGTCGAAGATCACGTCGGAAATCCTGGAACAGATCAAATCAAGGGCGGTTATTTGTACCAATCATGGAATTTACTTCCGTAATTCAAATTGTACCATAATTAGGATTCCTCTAGTATATAAAGTGGAGTCCCCATCATTTGTAAACACCTTACATTCACGAATATCTCAGCAATATAAATATTTCTTTCTTTTGTTTATCAACTTGCTGCTCTTTAGTTGTTCTTACTCTGGCAAGCTCGAGGGTTTATTAGCCTGAGGGCACTGTCCAAATGCTAGTTTACTTTATATTAATGTCAATTCACATCACTTATCTTTACGTTTATCCATTGGTATTAGGTGAAATCACGTATCCTTAAAACCACATTATAAGTTTAATTGTTATCCAATTTTTAGGGTAAACAGTTTGGCGTCCACCGTGGGGCTAAGGATAATAGTGATTGCTTAATATTAACCTTCATAACACACACTGCTTTTACACTTGTTCTCATAAGTGTTTTTGATTTCAGGAATCAACATGTCAAACTCTCAAGCAGTACCCACTCACACAGATACCGGCCTTGGTCTTCATGGTGAGAACGAGCACATGGTCGCCCCGGGAAATGGAGTACCTCCAATCAATCCCGATGTACCACATGCCGTAGATTCAGTCGATGTCAGTTCTCGAGTCGCCATTCGTGGAGATTTAGGCTCCGGTCCTGAAAATAGCGTCCGCAGAGACGCCCAGGCAGTCGATCAGAACACACAGAATGGTGAAGAAGGTGGGATTAGCCTTGAATGATATTCGACATGTTTCAAACTCAGCAGGCTGCGATAGCGCAACTCCAAAATCAAAATCGAACACCAAGCAGAATCGAACTCGATACATAACAGGAAGTTGTTCATAGAGTCAAACCTGTACAAGAGAAATTGAACGATAATGGATCAGGAACTGACCCTGCCATCATGAAGATGCTCGAGGAGCTCACTAAACGGATTGAATCAGGAGAAAAGAAAATTGAGGCTAATGATAACAAAGTAGAAACGTACAACTCCTAGGTTGATCAAATACCGAGGGCACCCCCAATTCTGAAGGGTTTGGATTCGAAAAAGTTCGTACAAAAACCTTTCCCACTAAGTGTGGCTCCAAAGCCCATTCGAAAGAAATTTCGCATGCCAGAAATTTCCAAGTACAATGGAACCAATGATCCTAATGAGCATGTCACTTCTTATAGATGCGCAATAAAAGGAAATGACTTAGAAGATGATGAAATTGAATCTGTTCTGTTGAAAATATTTGGAGAAACTTTATCGAAGGGGACAATGATATGGTACCACAATTTGCTGCCCAATTCCATCAATTCTTTCGCCATGCTTGTCGATTCGTTAGTAAAGGCATTGTTGATACCCAATTTTCCCCATATATTTTTAATATATATATATATATATATACTTTCAAAATAGCACATATACAATTATAAGTATGCATAAACATTTTTATAATTTTTTCATAATTTTAAAAGCTCCAAATCAATTTATTTCTTCTCTTTTATTTATAAAATATTCTATAATTATCCTTCAAATTACTTTGGTAATGATTTAGTCATTTGAATTCTTTATTTATTCCAAAATAGTGTTTAAATATTTTTAGTGCATTTTTTTTGTAATTATATTTATATTTTTAGGCTAAATTGCACATCTTTGCAATAATAGCCCTACTAATGCATAATTATATTATTGATGCATAAAATGGTCTTTTATATTTTTAAAATATTAAACAACTATTTTAAATCATTTTAGCACACGAAAATGTTTTTTGGAAATCATTCATTATTTTTATAAATTATATAGTTATTAAAGTGGCTATTTAAAATCTGGCCTATTTTTATTTCAATTTTTAGCCCTATCTTGACCCAATAACCAGCCCAATTTTAATTCAAATTACCCAACCCAAACTCTGCTACCCGATCCGGCCCCAAAACCCCTTCAATCTCGACCGTTGATCATAGAGATCAACGGCCACAAACAACCCTTCCTAAAATAAACCAAACGACTCCCCCAAAACCCTTTCATTCTATACCATTCGCCGCCCTGAAACCCTTCTCTTCTCTCAAACGCTCTCAAACCTAACCCTAATCAAACCTAATCGTCACTCGTCTATGGCTATCTCTGGTGATCTCTCACCCCCCAGGCCTCTATTAGCCTCCATCACGTTGGTATCGCCATCTCCATGGTCCTCAAGGGACCAGGGTCAGTTGGCTTGCATCTATGGTCCCTTTCTCGCCTGTTTCAGGTCGTTCCAGTGTGATTCCAAGTAAGATCGTCCTATATTGACTATGATCTATGGGTTTCTAAGCATGTTTCTTCACCTCTGTGTTGTTCTCTTCGAAACCCTAATTTCTTTTACTGAACCTCTTAGATCTATACAGATATGAGATGATTTGAACTTGTTTCATATGAGTTTTACAACAACCTTGGGATTTTTTACAAGAAACGTAAATTTTCTTTACAACAATCGTATGATTTTCAAGTGATTTCATCTTTTTCTAAACTAGAGTTTCCGGAAATTTCTTTTACAAAATGTTTGATGATTTTTGAGTATTTAATCTTCTACTTCTTATGTGTTTTGACTGAATTTGTAAACCTTAACTCGCTTGTACTAAAAGCCCTAATTTTTAACACTCTTCGTCTGGTTTGTGAATATTGGTATACTGATTGTGTTCTTGCTTTGGTTCTTATGATTCCTCGTGATTTTCTTGTCCTAATATGCCTCTACTGAATTTCTTAGTTCAACCTTTCATTGATTCTATATGCTTGTGTTCATCCTGACTATTCATGTTAAGACCTATATCTTTCTCCTTGAATCAGTGTCGATTTAACTATTTGTTTTGTTAAAATTACGTGTTGAATCCTGACTATTTATTTCTTACCTTATTTTAACTAAACTAGTGACTCTATACGTGATTTTCTCCTTGACTATTCTAAAATTCTTATTCCATGATTTGATTTGAACTCTTTTCCTTAACAAACTTTGATTCCTATTTTTGATTGAACCCTTTGCCCTAATTAGCTTTCCCATTGCCTTATTTGTTATTTGCTGATCTTTATTGATTGTTACCTTAATTGAAACTTCTGTTCATTTACTCCTAATTACCTACTCTATACCCAAACCTTACTTGATTCTCTTCCTTAAATATCTAGTATGCTTTTACCATTGATTTGATTATCCCTTGATTAAGGGGAAGACTTGCTGATTTTTACATGTGATTGATTCCCTGAATCTCTCTAATTGCTACTTAATTGACCCCTTACCTTATTTTGCTAAGCTTTTGATTACTATAACTCCCTCTTATTCTCACTTCTAAGGACAGAACATTAGTTCACAAAAGCACACTTACACTCTAAGTTCTCTTTCTCTTCTGCTACTTGTGATACTCACTGATCTAGCCAGCTGAAAGTCAAGACTAGATATTGGAACTTTATCTGCTTTATATTCTGCATCCTTTTCTTCAACTGGTATGTCTCTAGTTAAGTTTTGAAATCCAAACCCTATGTGTTTCATTCCTGCACTAGTTCATCAGTTATGAGTTCAACTTGTATTCATGTTTACTTCTTTGCTCAGCATGTCTTAACTCTGTCCTGTTCAATGTATGC